AATGTAATAAGTGGTCAAACCATGCATTTTGCTTTGTGTAAGATCACTTATGGTGATCCAGGGAAACACTAAAGCTTAGCTGAATAAAATGTTTTGCATTGCATACCTTTTTTCACTGAAAAGGCCAGTTTACTAAGAGTTAGGCTTAGAACCGAGTTCTGACTAACCTTCAACAACAGGGACATACTTGTTGCTGGCGTCATGACAAAAATATAAGTTACCCAGCTGATAATAAAAAATGTTTCCGTTTTCCCTCACTACTGCTATGCAAAAACTTGTAATATAATGTTCAGGTTATTAGAATGATTTAAATATTTTAACATAAAATTTGATTCCCTTTGATATCCCTATCACTCTCTCCAAGATAACCCAGCCTTTCCAGAGTTATATTTACAGAGTCCCAAATATCTCAGATTTCTACTCAAAAGTATAATTAGAAGCATATGAAGACCAAAGTTGAACACGTACAGTTTTCAATGACAGTAACTTCAGATTTAAAATACCCTAAGTACTACTATAAATCCTTTGCTTCTTCTCAAAGAGAGTTCTACATAAGATATTTGCTCACATAATCTCCCGTGCACCAAACCTTTAAACTCTTCAGATTTTCACTAACTTTGTCACCAGCCTCTTCACTCTCCCCCCCAACCCTTATTTAATTCCGATTTCTGTTCAGCGAGACATCTTGACTACTTTGCTACAGAAAACAATTACATTGCACACTGACAATCCAAGATTCCAGCCTATTTATAGGAACTTACTACTCATCTTCTAACCCTAGAGCTCCAAAGTACTTGGAAGAATGACAGAGGAAAGCAGAGTAATATGCACATTCCTTTATACAAAGGCTTCCTTTACCACCTAAAGGACATGAAGCTGATTCAAATCATAATGTAAGTTACTGACTACATGACAGCATTAATGGTTTGGTTTCAAACGTGAGAATAAATTTATTCCACTGAATAAACAATTAGAAAAACATCAAAAAGTGACTGTTCACACGAGAAATTTTGAAAAAGCATCTTAAGATTATTGTAGTCTCTGCCTACAGGACAAAACTGGATCCTTTGACACATCCAAGAGTTTTGTGTTTTATGTCAGTTAGAACAGGATTTGTCCTGTGCATCTTCTCTGCTGAACTAACATTGTTTGGCATAAACAAATGATCAAACCAGTGACAGACTAAGAGGTAGATGCTTCCAGTCAGAGAAGCTCTCTTCCCAGGAGACCCCAGTATAAACATATATTTTCCCGTCTTCACACATCCGCACCCTAAAAAGAACTGAAGAAGAAAAAAATATCATAAAGAACAACAGAATCAATAAACAAGAAATAGGAATTGGCCCCCAACAGAACAGGAAAGAAATAGCTCAGAAGAAACTGACTGTGATGGCTTCTTGGATGGGGTTGGACAAGCATTTCCTGTGAAACAGGTTTGACTTTGCCATAAAAGCATAGAAGTGGCACTGCAGAACAAACTGTCCATGAAAAAATTTCATGTGTAGTAGCTGCACGAGTTTCTCCTACATGTACAAAATAAGCAGCATTTCCGAAAGGGCTACACTCTTATCCCTTGTGAAGTACTCTCTTATTATCTCTTGTGTAATACTCATTACGTTAGTACTGAACAGTACCAGTTTTTATTGCTCAAAATATTTTTTCGACCTTGGGGGAGTTAAGATCCTAAGTTTCACACACGAGTTACTGTAAGCTTCTTTCAAAATACTGACCTAAGAGAACTGTGTAAAAAAATTCCCACTCAAACACTGCATAGTTAAGACAGATGTTTTTTGAGCATCTCTTCCAAGAAGCTGACTGGCTTAAGAGAACTGACGAAATTAAAAGAAACTTCTAAAACAAAATAAGCCCAAAGACTAACTTATTTCTTATTCCAGCTGTTTGTTTTTAAATACAGACGTAGCCTCATGAAGAGCTCTGGGGCTGCTCCCCCGTTCTGCTGGACTGCTAGTTACCTCAGCTTCTGCATGTATCTTCTTCCTGCCCTGACCCACCAGTTCACCAGTCCCACTTCCTTTTCATGGGAATGGGATAAAATATTTAGTTAAGGCTCTGGTGTCAGACAAAGCAACTGGGTTCAATTACTACTAGAAGTACAGTCTCCCCCGGCACCCACAGCCTTGTCAGAGAGATTAAGAAAACAGGTTGAGGCTGAGAGGGTGGAGGGGAATGATTGTGTTCAGACAGTTACATCTACACTGCAAAAGGGAGCTGTGCAGAGGGACTGCAGAGGTAACACTGAAAAATTCACTTTTCATGCAACATTTATCCTCTTAATCCAACATTTCTCTCATTGCTGCCTGTTTCCTTGCAGACATTTCATTAAAGACCTTGACTCTGAGACAGTTGCTCCATCCAGGAGTGAAGCAAAGGAAAAAGTAATCTCCTCGCAGAGACTTCTGTCATGCCCTAATTCTGCATAAGGTAATAGTCTCATCTCAGAGGCAGGACCTATACATTATAAAACCAGGTAGCAGAAGGAAGTGTCAGTTTTAGATGAATACTGAGTAGTCTTTTATCTGTTCTTCCCAAAAACCCTGCGCAAACCATTCTTCAGATCAGAAGGTGCACAGAGGTAGATACAAAAATTTACGGATCGGAAACGAAGGGCTGCATGCTTGAAGAGTCATCTGTTATTGAATTACAGACAGATACTGAAAAGAAAGGCTATTATCTCTGCAAAACTGGCCTTTTTTGTGTCCTTTTACCAATCTTAAAAGGAAGTCTTGCCATAGGAGAACTAAAGTTTTGAAAGCTAGAAAATTAAGGTTCCTGTTGAACTGTCTGCCTTCTTTAGATAGCAAAACTAGAATCTTTTCCTCTCAGGCTTCATAATTTTTTTTTTTTTAAAAAAGTTATATTGAAAATTTTATTTAGACAAACGTATAGGCAAGTGAACCAGACATTTCAACAGTCCTTCTACAATATAACGCAACTGAAATTGATGGAAGTTTCAAATAGTCATCATCCAATTTTATCTCATTAAGACTACAGTGTTTCGTATAACGCTGTTTAATGCGATATACATGGCAAAGCAGTCAGTTTTCTGTAAAGTGCTAAAAGATACTGGAGAGAATTCAGTTAAGGAAATAAAAAGATTATAGATAAAAGAATATATATATAAAGTTTATACAAGGTTGTAAGTGACCACTACCAAACACTAGATGGAGGAAATCTCAAGAAAGTATAATACATTCATGAAAACCTAACAAACTGTGATAACTTTCCCCTCCTTTTGGAAAATAAATCAGTTGTTTCCTAAAAGAAACAACCTAGGCCCTTCTTAGAATTATCATTCCCATGTAGCAACAGCTAGTAAAAGTGATCTTTCAACTATTTACTTCGCCGAAATTTGGACCTCAGAAATGTATCATTCCATAATAGCTGTTCAGCTCAGCACACTAGAACCAATTCTCTGGCAGCTGTCTTGACAGCCCAAGCTCTTCGCTCTTCAACAGACCAGTAAATGGATTAGCATAGAGCAAAAAGATTGACAGGCTGGGAAGCGGTTATTTCATTTTTTGAAAACTGGACTCCTTTGCATTAGTTTTTCATTCTGAATCACAGCAAAACCTATGTGATTTATATATTTTCATAACTATGTAATGGTTCTATAGGACACTGCATTGGAATTCACACAATTTAAATACATTCCTATTTGAGGCTCTGGGAAACACTTGGATAAACAACAAAGCCTAAACAGCTCTAAAGAAGCTATCTCATTCTAATCATTTGAAAAACGTTCAAGTAGCCTTCAGGTCCAGAACACAGATGTCGAGTACTCAAAGGTACAACTAATTGCTTCCCTTCCTATTTTGTACAACAAATTCAGTTTTATACATGAGACAATGCTGTTTAATTGAAGGAACAGTCCATATTGCTTAAGTTATGAAATAAGTGCAAGAACGTATGAAGCTGAAATTCAGTCTACCATAACTGCAACCATTCCTTAAAGTCAGCTCGGTACTCGGTTTTCAAAGTCAGTACATTAGTGCTAATTTAGAAGAAAGGCTTGCGCGCACTGAAAACTAGCCATCTCTCTGGACAGCACGACAACAATACTCAACCTTACCTGAAACTCTGGCACCAAAACAGCTCAGTGTTATCCCAGGGAAGCTATCTGCACAGAGAACTAGGTAGTTCACCTTCCAAAACCCTTTACCTGCTATACATATCTGGTAAACAGCCCATCTGAGCATAACAGAAGTATACTAGCAAAAGTTGAATAATTTAATGCAAACAATTTTAAAAGCTGGTTTGTTATTCCCTTTCCTTTATCTAAAAGTGCCACACAATTGACATGACCAACAGTACTACTGAGCAACACAGGGAAAACTGATGACCCCTAAATTCCCAATCAGTCATATGAGGCAACAGCTCGTACAGTTTAGCAATAGTGAGCAAGAAAATACTTGGTTCTATTATTAGCCACATAATCAGAGCAAATGATCATAACAAGTTCCCTTAATTATCATATCTGATGGAAAAAAAAAAAGCCTGCTCAGACAATGGTACCATCAGTAGAACTTGAGATTTTTCTAGGAAAGAATATTAAAACAATGTTTCCTTAAACGATTTGTTTTAAATAATATTGAAAATAAGTATGTAACATTTTCAGTTTGTCCTTCATTCAGAAAGAGATGTCTAAATGATGCTTTCTAGATTAATATGCAATGCAGGTGAGAAATGACTGTAGTTAAGCCATCTTATGATAGTATCTAAAAGAAAGCTTCAGAATCCCATCCTCTTTCTTTTCAAGTAGAAGTTACCAGAATCCTGAGAGAAGGGAACCACACAGATTTTTAAGAACCAACACAAGAATTTATCCCTGCCATCAGAAACTCAACAGTCACTTCCTCAGAGCCTGCTGTAAATGAACTGTTATTTACATGAACTATAAACCTTCTACTGAATTTTCTCTCCACCTGAGAAAATTCTCCAAGTTTCAGTAACACATTAATAGTAATAATAAAAGCTCTTACCTTCTGAATAGCCCTGGCCCATCTTGCTTTTGCGAAATTACTTTTGTCAGCTTGATCTTTATTTCTCCTGGAGAAAAAAAGAAAAATAAAAATGCACTCAGAACAGCCAAGTATCAGCAAAAAATAATTTAAAATAGCTCTGATCAATTTATGCACAGATGATCAAAGGTCACAAGAACCGTCATCCATTTCTATGTGTTCAGTCTTTATATACAGTACTGTACCTGCAATTTTCACAATACTCTACAAAATATTAGCTCTATGTTTTATTCTTAGTACGCAAACTTATCCTTGTAATTGGCGTAACTTTATACTTAACATGAAAAGAGCTGATCTGAATTCACACAGTATCATTCTGCTATTCAATAATACGATAAGTTGCTCAGCAAGTACTTATTCAGTGAGTGGATTCACAACTGGTATCACTTTGCCAATATTAAATCCAAACAAACTACAGAAAAGAAAATTGGAGAGAACACTTGATTATGAGTTGCTTAGCCCTCAATATGGAAGATTTATTTCATTCATATCTACTAAAGTGACAAGACACCATGAGCTAGATCAGCATTTGTTATGGTGGATAACCAGGTTAAAAGATAATTTTCGATACTACTTTTTCCCATTATTTACATCTAAGACACTATTTGCAACTCTAGCCCACTTCTTTCCAAAAGGTAAATAAAATTAATAAATAACCTTCTAAGAAAACCTAATATTCCTATTCTAAACAACTTTTTTGAGTAGCATTTTATAGTTAAAACAGAATGACAAGTCAAAAACCTTTATCCACTTTTTTTGATAACGTAATTTTCAAGACTGTTTTCTTTACAATTTAAGAATGGGGTAGAGAAACAGGTTCCTCTCCCACCATTTTCGCATTTATTTCCAATTACCCTGCTGCTCCCTACTTGAGCAGTTTGATGACAAAATACAACATAGAATGATTACAGTGAAGCGCCCCCAGATCTGCTAGCGATTTGATGTAAAGTTAGAGCACAGCATACAGATAACTGATTCAGGACAGAGGAAAAAATAAGCAGAACTTAGACACAAAACAGCAAAATAGATGCAGATATCACTATCTGCTGATTTTCTTTGTTGTAGCAAAGTAGTATCCAACTGCAGTCCTGAAACAATTCTGATATATCCAGGCTTTCTGAAACAATTCCAACATCCAAGAAGATCCTGGTTCACAGTATTCCCTTTGGATTACTGGTGTTCCATTAATTCTATGAGTGTATTACCTTGCAAAGACATGATCACCGCCCTTATTTTACTGATAAGGTATAAAGGAGCATTGGTAAAGGAGCATTTCTTGATTCTAGTGGTTTAGAAATTAGGGTTAGGGTTTTTGACATCAAATTTCAGGAAAACAAAAGGATGTTCTTGAATTGCCACCGTGAAGGCAAACCCTTGTGAGACACTAGCACTGTGACTCACTCAAACTGCACTCAAAGAGTCACTGAGAGAATATCCTGGAGGTGAAAGACATGGCACAAAATATATCGTACTACCCTCTGTCTGACCCTCAACAATTGGTTGACTGTTGTACTCTATATAGCATGATTGGTTTTGCTTACAGGGAGCATGGAGCTAAAGGAATATGTTTAGAGCGGTGTATCATTTCATGTTCTGATGCGTTGGCGCATAAACTTGAAAATTAAAATGATCTTGACAAATTAGAGACATAATATGGAAAAAAAAGATGAAATTCAACACACAAATGTGCAAGGTTCTATACTTAGGCAGGAATAATCTAATGCTTAAATATATTTAAAGGAGAAAAAAGTGCTGGTAGCTGTTTTTCAGAAAACATTCTCAAGAATATAGCAGTTTCCAAGTTGAATAAAAATTCAACAGTGGCCCACTATGTCTAAAGAGCAAACACTGGGAAATACAGAGACAAATATTGTTTGGGACATGAAGCAATGCTTCCTCTGGTTCTGACAAGGAGTGGAGTACTTAACCTAGTTTTGCATGCCACACTTCAAGATGACATAGACCAGAGAGCCAGAAAAAAGCACCAAGAATAAAGAGAGATCTGGAAAATATGTCCTATAACAAAAGCTTAAGGAGCAAGAGTTGTTTAGTCTAGAGAAGAAAATAACGAGAGGATGCATTACGACAGTATTTGGATATGAAACAGGTAGCTGTATTAAGAAACTAGTTTCTAGGTCTTGCATTGCAGCAAGGGAGATAGAAAGTGCATTTTAGCATGTATGTTGTGCAGATAAGGACAGCTAAGTGCTGAAAGGGATGGAGTAAAGAAGTTCTGCAATCTCTGTCAGATAAGACCAGACAAACAAATGTTAGGAACAATGCCACCGAGTCCACCAGTGGCCAGAAACAGACCAGAGGATCTCTGCAGGTACATCCTATGAAAAGTCTCTGAATGGAATTTGGATTCATTTCAAATATCTAATGTCATAAGCTGTTATATACCCCTGAAATCTTAATTTCATTTGAACTCAGTAACTGAATGAGAGAAAGCCACTATCACTTAGTTCATTTGTGGGACAAGTCAAAATGTGAAAGTTCAAAGTATGAGTTTAAAAAGTCCCACTGAATATATTAATGACATATACCCCGATAGTCTTTTAAGACTACACAGACTCAAATTCCATGTAGTGCCATTATGATGAAGCCTGTTCACAAATGTCAGCATTTTCCTCTCAAGGTGACAAATGCTCCAAAACCCTGGAATAAAACCATGAACAACAACAACAAAAAAGTCTTAAAGTTACTCCATTATAGCACCATTAACAGAATAGAATGCTAACAAATCTTTAAAGATTCTTATCTGAATTATCTGTGCTATGCAATTGGTTGCCTCTACATACAGAAATTGTACAGCTACACTGGCCAATTATTACGGAATCTCATTATTCATCTGTTTTGCCACACCTGTGAAGAATACACTGGTGTGAGCTGTAAAATGCAAATTCATTTCCCAGCTGTTCTGCACAGGTTGAAATTTTAAGAATAGTATTGACTCTACCACTCTTACAAAAATCTGTAAGTAAATACTGCCTTGTATAATAATAGAACGTAGCAAAATAAAAGTATGCAGTGAAATTCTATAGGCTACTACTATCCTCCACAGATTGATCTACTAAGTAAGGTTGCAAGTTATCTATATCATATTTTAGTGCTATCCCTAGGCCGACACATTCCTACTTAACCTTGGACTTTTAGAATAATGCTCTTTTATTTGAAGAGAAAAATGCCCTCTCCGATAAGCATGGATGAGTGAACATGATGCACATAAAATATGAAGAGTCTTGTCTTCCCCTGCCCCCACCTTGGGGACTGCATGTTTGCAGCTTCAGCCTTTTTCCCATTTACTTTTCATATTTACATCTACTTTTTTACATCTATATGTGTGTGTATTTTATACACACACACACACACACACACACACACACAGTAAATCAGCCAACTGTTTAGAGTGTTCCCCATCCAGCTGCTGTTAATTACACTGGAATTATTAGTTAATAATTAACCTCAAAAATTGTTTGCGTAATTAACCCCAAGATCAGACGGAGTTACACGTGAACATCGATTCAGAAGGAACACATAAAAACAGCTTTCTCCACCTTAAGCGAAAGTAAGCAGAGTCCTGAATGCATCTAAGTTCTGAGGGATAACGTAGAAAAGCAAGATAGGCAGATAAGAATATCTAACTGGCCTGGATTTCTTTTAGAAAGTGTTTGTTCTGTGATCCTTTCCTGTCTGTGAGAGGAAGTTTAAGTATGTTTGCGTACTGCCTGAGTAAACTGTACTACTGAATAGTGCAGGAGTAAAGACTCTCCTCACACTTGCGCGCAGTGCAATAAACTCATTATCTCAGTGCAGACATGGCACCTATTTTATATATATCCACATGAAAGCTCAGCACAAATAGAGAGGGTAGGAAGAGCCTTTTACCTGTGCACATCGTGCTGACGCAGTGATCTGTTCAGCTTAGACAACAAATGACTATTAAGTTTCTATTCAGATCTACTAAAACCAACTAGTTACCTAGCAGAAGACTTCAACTCGTTACTGAATAAAGCCTCTAGATGACATGCAGGCTACAGGAATTCTGAGTCACAAACACCAGAAACTGCTGTAAAGCGATCTGTACTGCTACCCTAACCAGGCACAAAAAATATGTTTTGCTCTAGGCAAGTGTATTACCATGATTTTTGGAACAAAAAACAACCAACAATTGCAGATTAGGAGAATTTAACACAAGGATTACATCTGAAAATAACTTGAGAGTCACTGCTGATAGCTTGAAAGAATACAAGCTCCTAACGGTAGACTAACCAAAAAGCTGAATAACAAACAAGATGAACGCCTGAAATTCATACCAATTCACCCATTTCTACAAGATACTGCCTGATTTTGGTCTCTGAAAGGTTACTGGGCAGCCTGCTGTAACTCAGAGAACTATGAGAGGGAAGAAGAACTTGAAAAGAAGCCATGCAATGAGAAGTTCAGCAATATGCAGTTACAGCGAGTTAAGCTAGTACCCTAGGTCAAATATTTGATGCATTTGCAAACTTAGTTGGACTATGAGTCTTTTTGCCCCAAAGACTGAAACAGATAGTCTCCTTGCAGTCCATTTAACAGAAGACATTGCTGCACAGGAGCGTGCAGGCTAGATAAACAAGAGGGCTGCTCACAATCATGTTTATCAAAAGCTACAGATTTTTATACAACAGCAGCAGCAGAAGTGACAATGACACTTCTATCTAACAGATGTTTTCCCTCTCAATTGTGTTGCCCAAACATTAAAATAGGTCTGGTATTTCAATGACGATTTGCATTTTTATGGTACTTCTTGTAAAATTAAATGCCATTATAGACTTTGTTGTAAAGCAGTTAATTAGATAGCAGTTGCAATGTGGCCACATATAGACAAATAATGACATCCTCTGAACGTTTACTTGTTTTCAACAGACAGTCCTGAACAGTTGCACTGATTTCTAACTATTAATCATTACCACTGATTTCACCAGCTTTAAATATAAGTGGAAATGAACCGTGCAAGGAAAATTGAAATAAATATACTGTTTTTTC